CACCCGGGCGCGTGTTAAAGACGGCTCATGTGAGGATGTTTGTTCAATATTATTCCAGGCGGCAGAAGGTGATTCCTTCTTCGACCCGGCAGGTTGTGGTGATAAATTTATCCAAAATCGGTTGCTTTTGGATCTGTGTATTTTTGTTTACCTTGCTGTCTTCTTTTATTGTGGGTAATTTTTCGCGTTTAATTTAAGTTGTGTAGCACGTTCGTGACATGGCTTCATTGGGTCATTAGTTTGAATGCACTTAGCATTGTACAGAATTTTATTGACACCGGGTAATGTTTTCAATGACGTTGTTATGTAAGCTTGCGCATGCGCTGTGTAGACACCTATGTTGGTTCAATCGGTGAAGTGAGCCACATGATGCATGCGAGCAGTACTGGCAAAGTTGAAGTTCCTGTCTTTACCCATTTCTGTTAAATGTTGATATGTTCTCTTTCTCCCCAGGTTTCAGCTGTGTTTATGTAGTGCATCCCGAATAATCAGTATTGTGTGGACATATTTGGACGAATGAAAAGAGAGATATTTGGCTGAAATCGAATTTGTTTTAATTTGTATCATTGTAGTGCATTTCGGGGTTGTTTATTGTCTTTCGCTTGTAGACATGCTCGTTCATGCTCGCATTAATGACTTCTTGTCTTCGCGCGTATATGGACCTGACATGGAGTAGTGACCAATTCAACGTTTTTGTCTTTACCTGATAGATTTTCAGACGCTTAGCACAAATTGGTCATCGCAGACGGAAGCGGAAACATCAACCCTCTCCTGACGGGGGGGGGGGGGGGGGGGGGGGGAGAGGACCCGCGGAGTGAGAATTTTGATTTGGGATCTCAGGGCCGGATTGTGTTTTTCTCTATCAGTTTGGAGGTGAAGTTTTGTGTCCGCTTGCATATGCAAGTTCAAGTAAAAAGGAAGGTGTTGCCTTGTGGAATCATAGTTTATTGGCAAGATTGAGTCGCTTCACTTTCCGTGTGTTTTGTTTATTAACAGCTGCCTCAGCGAGTTTTGTTGATCATCAAATCACCCTAATTGTGTCGTGTTTATGCTTCCAGGTACATGTTTTGACTCATTTAACGAAGGCTTGAATAATGTGTACTTCACAAACAAACTGCTAACATTGCTTCCCATCTCACTGCCTCAAGAACACTTCTTTTGGGGCTAATGTGCCTGGTTACAGCTTGAAGCCTTGGAGAGCTTATCCTTTGGGCCCGCATGCAACCTCTGAACATTACATCTTCCTTTACCGTTACCTCTGTCCCAAAACCCTCCGTAAGGTCATGTGTGTAAGTACGGGAGAGGGCTGCGAGACCATGTGTGTCTGAGATTTAGTCAGAGAGCTTATGTCCTTCCATGTTAGTATCCAGCCCCTCCCCTAGAAGAAGCTTGAACAAAGTCAGTAGCTCAAAAGACAAGGTCAAATAGTAGTTACCGACTCGCTGGCTCTTATAACGCGATGCAGGGAAGTAGAACATTTCAAGTATTTATAAGAACTTCCATTCGGGTGGGGAGGGGGGGGGGGGAGTAACAGCTAACCATTTCCCAGCCTCTCATTCTATCCCCAGGAGTATGCGACACCTGAACAGCCAAACAGCACCCATTTAGAGTTATTGATATGGATCTGTAGGATTGAAATACTTAGTTATTGATTAACACTGATGGACGGGTTTGAAACTGTCTAAACAGTTTGGAATATTCAACATCGCGGCCATAATAGAGGTTTGAAATATATATATATATATATATATATATATATATATATATATATATATATATATATTAGCTGCCTTTTAGACGAACATTACATTCCGGGAACTGAAACAAAGACATTTGAATCGGTTGGCTCTCCATCTGACTAGTCTACAGGTCCTTTCCTTGGTTGTATATCAGTGCTAGTTCGAGACTTTGATGCAAGGGTTCGATCCAATTTCTTTAGATACAATTTTTATCGATTTTTTCCTCTTTATTTAATATTTTTTGAACACACGTTTTTTCAATTCTGAGCTCGAATTCAAACCCAAATCTACATATCCTAATGTTTGAATCATAAAATGCTGTGAATCCCCAGCTCTAGCAAGCTTTCCTAGTGCACATTGATGCATATCCCTTTGACACAGAATGAATGCCTCTCGATTTCAAAACCTTGCAGCATGTTCACAACATTCTTCAGTAAGCCATTTCTCAGTAGCACAAACAAAAGGTGTTTTTTCGTAAGCAACGTAACGCTTGAACTCATCAAATTTAGATGGGCTTCTGTTTTGTTCCGCTGACTTCCCATCGGATACCATGGGGTCAAGGCGGTCTAGGCATCCAGTCTTGTCCACTTATCGAAATACCCCCATGTTTATGGTGTAAAATGTGCTACGAAATCTTCAGCCATGTTCACGAATGCATAAAACACGGACTGTAACGTGCTTGCAGTGATCCCAATGGGCCTTCTCGTCGTACACCTCGCGGTTCGTAATCCTTCCTTTCCATTCGCTCTTTGCGTTGAGAAGCTACTCATCGGCATGGGTTTCGCGCTTCTTCCTTTTCTACCATATTCGATTTCACATGAGCCGATGAAACCCGAACTGATACGCGGCACCATGGGCCACTTTCTGGTTTCGTAAGCAATTTGTTTTCATAACAGATGGGCATCCACTTATGACGCAAGCAATGTCGCCCCCCCCCCCCCCCACGCCAAGCAATAGCCGATCACGCGCCGGCGAGCTCGGAGAGCAATGTCTCCGAGACAACCCCGAGAACGGGGGAATGCTCCCGGGGACGTCTGCGGCCGACTCCGGCGCGCGTGGACGCGAATGTAGGCAAGGTTGGCGCGGGGCTGGCGTATACCATGCGGCCGACTCCGGCGCGCGCAGACGCGAATGTAGGCAAGGTTGGTGCGCAGCTGCCGTATATAATGTGCATTGAGAACACAGAGGAAACTAGACCCGATGAGAAGGTTTTGCGATTGGGGTGTGGGTGACGACTGATGACATATCGTTGGTGGGTGTTGGAGAAAAAAGTCGTTCAAGACGGTTTGTTGGACGATAGAAATTAATGTAGATTAGCCTGAGGTTTTTGTTGAATAGTGTGGTAACCGTTGAATGATCAGTCTGTTTGCATTGGCTGGCTTCATGGCGTTTTAACGCATCTTGTCAATGTTTCAGCTCTTTTATCCGAATGGGTCGTGACCCATGACACATATGCGAAAGTCATGACAGTCAGGTTTTACTACATCATTAATGCACTTCACTTGTTGGCGATTGGGACATGCTGCTTGTTTGTTTTATGAACGTGCTTGTTTGTTCAGCTTTGGTTTAAATCTGACACGTCTTCCACATGTACTCAAGCATGAATCATCTTGAAACGTTCGTCATATTGCGCCGAACGTCGGTAATCCTGTCGTAACGTGGGAGGTATCACATGACAGATAGGCGAAATAGTTGGCCTCATAAGCGGGTTGAACCTTAACCTACCAAAGACGGAGCACACAATTCGAACAATTGCCAAGTGGCATAGTGCCAAAAAATCCAAGTTGCGTTTTTCCGATGGTTGTAGGTAATATACTCAAATATACCAGTTGCATAGCAATACAAAACATGCGTGATCACAATGACCTAGATTGATATCAGCGGTCGCAAATTGACGCCGATAGGGAACAAGTACAGTTGGAGGGCTTTGACAGCAATCGTTGCGTCGGCCCTTCCCCCCACCCCCTTCAGTTGCGATCCCTAGTTAAATATTTACAAACCAAATTAAGATCTAAGGTTCGAAAAATAAGGTAATAGATGGTGTGTTTTGCGTGTGAAATGAAAATACAGTGAAGATGGACGCGCGGAGTTTCAGAGAATTTGTCGATGCGTCTTTCCGCTACCAGCTACGAAATATGACGCGTAAACGTAATTATTTTTTTTCCGATTTTTGATTGCAACGCGTGAGCGATACGGCCACCATCAGCCCGAACCACCGCAGTTGCCTCTGCGCGCACTGGCGGATGCTGCTCCTTACCATGTTTAGTGACACATCCTACGTATTCGTGGCCGGAGTCGCCAGTCCACCAGTCCCGGCACTGGCGGAATGTAATGAGAACAAGGTTAGCGCAATGAAAAGGAATCTGGCACCCTCCCGCAAAATCTCCGTCACACGTTCAATGGCAGCCAATGCTAGCTCCTTGGCATCCATACGGGTGACCGGACCGCGGGCCGACGGCTGAAAATAGCCTCTAAGGCAGTGCGGAGGCGGCCTGACGTGGCGCGACGGCGGGAACACCTCCCCTTGATCACCCTTTGTGAGATGGTTAAGAAAGGGCCATGCTCAACTTGCCAGACTCGATCTCGAACCGCACTGCCACAACAGGCCGAAAACCGCAGAGCCCTTTTTATGCCGTATTAAACACAGAACCACGTCGGCGCTTGCCGGGCGCTGGGGTTCTCGACGTTAAACCAATCACAGGCCATGCCGGCCGGCTGCCATTCTGCGAACCATTTGGAACCATTTTTGGGAGTTTGACAACTGAGTTGAAGTAAGAGGACCGGAAGTAACCAAACAACATGACAAAGTCGTAAAATATTTCCTAGGTCACTACTCTATTTCTTCATTTCTCCACCCGCACCTGTACCCGTACCCAGTCGTGGATCTTTTCTAACCCGACACGGCCTGCACTCGTTCCGTCTGGGTACCGGCGCATCATTCCGACCCGTGAGGGCCTCTACTGCAGACAAACACCCGCACGACGCCGACTGAGCATTGATGAGGCACTGAGGAGGCCGGCCGAGCCAGTGACGGTGACGTGCGCTCGTACAGCCACGGCGCGTCCGGGCAGGCCCGACACGCGCTGGACCGGACTCTTGCCGCTGCACATCATCCAAAAATGATCGACGGCTGGGGACCGCGCCAGGCGCCATCCCGGCTCGGCCAAGCTGGGCGCAGTGCTGCGCCGGCGTGCGTGCCGGGTCAGGGGTCATCCGTGGCGGGCCTCAGCGTGACCTCTGACTGACCTCTGGTGTCCACAGATGGGTCGACAGGCGCCGGATGCGCCCATCGTTGGCGGTCACAAAGGACCCGTGCTAGATATTGCGTGGGATCCGTTCAACGACAACGTGATTGCGTCCTCGTCCGAAGACTGCGTGGTCAAAGGTGAGTAGATGGCCGGTGTCGTGAGACTTGGTCGGGTGTCGGGTCGGGTCGGCCTGACCCAGCTGCTGCAGTCGCGGGCTTCCCATGTACGCCTGCAAAGGCAGCGAGCGGCGGGGCTCTACGGCACGTAATGGGACGGACTGTTACACTGTGTGGGGTGACCAGCACACCGCGAAGTTTAGAGGTCAGTTCATTCTGTTCTTTTCGAAAGATGGGTGCAATGATTGAAGGTTTTGTGAGACTCGGTGCTGCTGATGTAACACTTCGTGCGTCGTACTGACACTGGCAGTTGAATTTTTCGCAATCCATACCCGTTCTTCGAGGTGCTTTCTGGTTATGGCTGTCATAGGCGATCGCGACCGTTATCGCGTCGGAAGCAGGGGCGGTGACTCCATGCAAGGTTGGAAGCGCTGCTGGTCGGCTTACGCCCCCGTCCAGGTCCCAGATTTCTGCTCCGGGGCGGGATGCCAAACGTGGCGGGTGGGTGCACCGTGCACTCCTGCGTGTATCGCCCACGTGGAGTGCTGAGTGTGGCGGCTGGATGCACAGCGCACCCCCGCGTGTATCGCCCACATGGTGTGCTGAGTGTGGCGGCTGGGTGCACAGCGCACCCCCGCGTGTATCGCCCACGTGGTGTGCTGAGTGTGGCGGCTGGGTGCACAGCGCACTCCCGCGTGTATCGCCCACGTGGTGTGCTGAGTGTGGCGGCTGGGTGCACAGCGCACCCCCGCGTGTATCGCCCACGTGGTGTGCTGAGTGTGGCGGCTGGGTGCACAGCGCACCCCCGCGTGTATCGCCCACGTGGTGTGCTGAGTGTGGCGGCTGGATGCACAGCGCACCCCCGCGTGTATCGCCCACGTGGTGTGCTGAGTGTGGCGGCTGAAGCCGAGCTGCCGCCTGCCCACGGTCGGCCGGCCGTCCGGGCGCCGGGCTCGCCAGTGGTCTGCACTCGGTGGAGGGCGCACCATTTGCCCGGTCCAGCCGGCAGATGAGGGAAGACGTAACCGAGGCGCACGCGGCGTGCCGTGCCAGGCCGGCCGGCCCGCCCGCTCGAGGACCACTCGTGAAACCGGTCCGCCGGTCCGCTCACTCCACGGGCGACTAGTGGGCCGTGCAGCGGTGCTGGGGCGGCGGCGAGCGCCGCTTTGTGGGCCGTCGGCCCGGCCCGGCGTCGTGGCCCGCCTCACCCACGTGGACGCGCTGCGAGTCGGGGCGATTAGTGGGGCGCTGAGCGGCCGATTGCCGTATTTGGCATACGGCCACGCGGCGCCACCGGACGCCGCCCGGCGCAGTGACGTCATGGCGACGGCCCAGCCCAGCCGGGCTGATTCCAAACGCGGCCGCCGATAGGCAGGGCGGCACAGTGCCGCCTGCGTCTCAGTGTTGCCAAGAAGCTGTCATGCTCAACTGCGTCAGGGCGCAGACACATGTTTTTCTGCGTCGCCACTCTATTACGGGCAGAGTAGGAATAACAGAAATCTTGATGCCGTCGGGGACATCCTTCGCACTCGGCGATGATATCCAATTTCTTCATCATATTGTGTTACATAGGCTGTCTGTTTTCTCTGCGGGAGTCAGCATGCCCAGCTTGCCTTCAATGACTCGCGGAAACGTGAAGTTGGCTATGCATAGACGGCGTTGAGAAGCGGCCTCCCGACCACGCCTGGAGCTGACGGGTCGGCGCCGTGCCGGCAGCTGGCCGGCCCGGCGCGCCGCTGGCCTGCCCCCGTCACGCGCGCTCGCGCCGTGAATCGGTGCGGAGCTGACCTTGCACCCGTCGGCGGGCGTCACTAAATTCACTGACCTAGACTACTGACTGAAGAAACACACTGACAAAGGCTAGACCTTCACCAACACGCACATTCTCTGTTTTGTATATGTGTGTGTGTGCGTACGTGCGTGCGTGTGTTTGTGCGTTCTTGCGTTTTTGGAGATTTTTTTTGTTTTGTTTTTGTTACATCGGTTCAGCATTGAGGCGTGAGGTCACTCACAGGTCAGCACACAGGTACTGGGGAAGGGATAGCAAGGCCGCTACACAGACGCAAAGCTCCACGAATGCTCATAGCCGAGCTGGCTGAGTGTCTGCGCTCCCTGAATGAGCCGTGGTTGGAGTGGCTACCGTGCCGTGTCCTCCTGCAGTAAAGCTCCCCTTGTCCGGCAGTATGGCAGCTGTACGACTACGGGCTGTCGCGGACAATGACGGAGCCAGTGGTGGACCTGGTGTACCACCAGCGGCGCGTGGGCCTCGTGCTCTGGCACCCTTCCGCCAGCAACGTGCTGCTCAGCGCCGGCAGCGACAACCTGATAGTCGTCTGGAACGTTGGGAACGGCGAGGCCATGGTGGTGATCGACACGGTGCCTGACCAGATCTGGTCGGCCAGCTGGGCGTGGGACGGCTCCAAGCTGCTCGTCACCAGCAAGGACAAGAAGATCCGCGTGCTCGACCCGCGCTCCGGCGAGATTGAGGAGGTGCGTCACCCGGGACTTGTGGGCACGGCTGTACGCGCTCGTGCCTCCGGGACTTGTGGGCACGGCTGTACGCGCTCGTGCCTCCGGGACTTGTGGGCATGACTGTACGCGCTTGTGTCCCCGGGACTTGTGGGCACGGCCGCACGCGCTCGTGCCCCCGAGACTTGTGGGCAGGACTGTACGCGCTCGTGCCCCCAAGGCTTGTGGGCACGGCTGTACGCGCGCGTGCCCCCGAGACTTCTGTACGCGCTCAGCGGGCTGGAAAGGAATGAGAAGCGAACTAAGGAACGATAAGAATGAGTGAACTAGAGAGTGAACTGAGTTAGAGAGCGCAGAACCCGAGTCCTCCATCAGATATGCATGTTGCCTTTTAGTCATATTCAGTCCCATGGCGATTGCCGTGAAGCTACTGACGAGTCGGTATCTCGGAATGCAGTCCTAGTGCATCGGACGTGACAGCTGGCCCGCGGTTTGTGTTGTATGTCAACTGTGCCGCGCCCCGTTGCCGCACCCTTTCATTCCCATCTCCAGTAGGCTTACCTCCGTGACCAAATCAAATGACTGACTTGTGGTTGCCTCGGCCCTATCTTTGCGGTCTCACCAGCAGCTAGTTCGTAAACAGGGGGTGTTGCCTGTGCCAGAGTACACTTGTATGTAAGTGCATGACGCTTTCTGGCCATTGTTAGGAGGCGGTGTCGCACGAGGGCAGCAAGGGCTCCCGGGCCATCTTCCTGAAGAACGGACTGGTGTTCACCACCGGCTTCAGCCGGATGTCAGAGAGGCAGTACTCACTGCGGGCGCCCGGCCACCTCAGCGATCCCATCGTCATGGTGGAGCTGGACACGAGCAACGGCGTCATGTTCCCGCTCTACGACCCTGACACCAACCTAGTCTACCTGTGTGGCAAGGTAGGGCCCGGCGCAAATGGGCGCAGAATGACCCCTGCCGTCGACGCGTCCGTTAACTCAGATCATTATCATCATCATCATCATCACCGTAGGGCGCGGCGCGAGCCAGGCCTCGCCTCATGAAGCGGGTTTGCTGCCGTGCGAACGCACGACTCCGCGAGATATTTAATGCCTAGGATCTTTGTTTGTGATTTCATGAGATGTAGGTTTGTTGTAGTGCTGACTTGGTTATAATTACATCCATACCACATTTGGAGCACTACAATCCTGTTCATTTTGCTGGCAAAGTTGGAAATAACTCCAGGACTTTAGATGCAATAGTTTGTCGTCAATGGTCAATGTCGGAGCAAGGAAAACGGCGTTTCGTTTCGCTGTCCGCATACAAACCTAATTAGCCAGCCTTAGTTGTCGCGTGAAGATGCGTTCGAAGAAACAACGCAGCTATGAACATCCATTTTGACCAGTTTGTGGTACCTCTTCAAAGCTATGCAGATGGTTGGGCCACAATTGTGTGGCAATTTCAGATATGAAGGCATGAGTGCAACATATCCGGCAAGGAAGTGGTTGTGATCGTTTTTCGATAACGGAGCTTATGAATGACGCAGACACCCAGAGTTTTTGATGCGTCTTTGCTTGTTCAATTTTAGAAGTCGATTGAGTTTTCAACCGAAATTCTGTGGAAAATGCGAACTCGAAAACAAATTTGATGTTGACCAAAGTTGTGACTAGTTTTCTACAACTCAATTTGTCCATGTTTTCATCCCGTGTACTCTGCAAGAAGGCTTTTGTGCGTGTCATAACTGAAGTATGGATGCAACCATTTACTGGAATGTGACTTGCTTCCCGTAAAACACCGATCATTATATTCATTTGTGAACAGAGTAAGGTGGATTAAATTGTAGATCATGTATTGTGAAATGCATCTCAAACTGCATGTTTCCACCGACACTTTGAGCATTGCTGTAATCGCACGAGGAGTGAGCATCACGTTGGCGTACTCACTCACCTGTGCTCCGCTCGCCAGGGTGACAGTGTGATCCGGTACTTCGAGATCACACCAGAGCCGCCGTTCGTCCATTACATCAATACCTTCCAGACGCCCGACCCCCAGCGAGCAATAGGTCGGTGTCCGAGTCAGGAGGCTCACCACCTAGCCGAGACGGGCTGGCGCTGCAGCTCTGCAGAAGCAGTGACCAGCGGCGCGACTCGATTAAGTTAACTGTGATCAGATGGACTGTGGAGCTGATGGAATGACTTGGTACCTGGGGCCAACCGGCGCGAGCTTGACATCCTAAAGCGTATCCTTGTGTGGCCGTTGAAGGGGGTGTACGATGTGCAGCAAACTTTCAAGCTTATGAAGACATGGCAACAATAAAGAAATGTGAATTGCGACCTCTATATGAAGTTCGAAAGGGGATGTCACGCCTTGGGGGCATATTTCAAGAACATAGTCCGGCGTAACGTCGGGACCAGCCAGGTCAAAGGTCGTTGGTGGGTTATGTTAATGTAGCACCACCAGGATAAAGTGAGGAGGTTAATTGCAATTATTTCCCATTCCCAATTTCGCTGTCAGCGTTCTGTCCCAGCACTACACGTTTTCTTTCGCGGTGACCCCCAGAGTGTACCACTAGTCAGCGACGACCGAAGTTGTCGTGACTGCCGTCTTCATGTCAGTTGTGGCCGTCGTGACGACGACAGAATTTGCCAGTGGCTGTCGTCAGCTGGTGCAGGCTAGAGTTGCCACTTTTTATCCGGTGTAACCCGCGCAGTGCGTGCCTGCGGGCCTAAAATGGCACCTGTACTGGTATCATTGGCGTCAGTACAAGTGAACGTTTGTGATTGGCACCGCGGGCGGCGACGGCCATTTACCAGAAGCGCACCGGTGGACCTTGGACCAGTGCGTCACTAGAGACCGTGTGGGACTCTGTTTCCCAAAGCTAGAGTATGATTCGAAAAGGGCCACAGTGCAAAACGCGACAGGGGAGAAGTCAAAGCCATATTAATACGTTTCGTTCATTTTGTATGATGAGAGCACCATATTTGTATATCTTCTCCCTGATTAGAGTATGTTGAGCTTTTGAAAAATGTATTGCGCAAACATTCCGGTTTCACACCCACTAGAGAAAAAACAGCCCAGATGAGAAGCATTACTTTCATGTTGGAGGTAGTCCAATTAGCTCATTTCTCCCGCCGGAGTGGCTACCTCCTTTCGAAATTGGGAGCTTTTCAGAATGATTTCGAGAAAATTGGTGGTCACATAAATATTACAGCAGTATTAGCCTTATTCCTCGGAGAAAAACCAGGAGAATAGATATAGTTGGGTTGATATTTCGGCAACATGCCTTTATCTAAACAATAGCAGAGGCCTGTTTCTGGTATTGTAGCGATAAAGTCATGTCGCCAACCATCAACCAAACTATATCCCCATTCTCCTGGTTTTTTTCTCCGATGAATAAGGCTAATACTGCATTCTTATCTATGCGAATAATGTTCCTCGCCAATGCACTGAACAACTTACGTTATTTTAAAACTGGTGTTCCCATAAAATCGGACGCGCCTGATCTAGTAATTTATCAAAAGTGCCAAGAGGTGGCATACTCCCATCAACAATAGCAAACGACATTACAGCACAGTTTCCCTGGCTGACATTGAAAGAGATATTCACGTTTGGTGCCATGAAAAATACTTTGGAAAGCAACCCTGCAAGGCGTACGTGAATATACAAATCATGACATAAACGCATTCACTTTAATTCCCAAATGCAAAGAAAAACTAAAAGAGGAGCAGCCCCGTTTATGCTTTTGGAAACGGAATTTGAATTTCAACTTTCCAACATGAGTTGTTACTAGTCTTCATGCTGTCGTGCGATGCCGCCGCTCCACCCAGACGATCGATTAATATAGATTGATCGAGATATCAGCGGTGTTTCTGTTAACGAGTGCTGCGAGTGTCCATCTTCCAATGTTCTTTTTGCCCATCTTGCCATGGCCCGTCTCCCGTTGTAGCCGCGCCTGGCATGGTCTCGCCCTGCTGACGACAACGGTCGCTTCACCCGTAGGAATGATGCCCAAACGAGGCTGTGACGTCCAGGCATGCGAGATCTCGCGGTTTTACCGCGTCAGCAACAACGGCTTCGTGGCTGTACACCCGTTCGTCGTACCGCGGAAGGTGAGAGATGAGAGTGTGGGGCTGTCCCCACGCCACATCACGTGACCAGAGCGGCCGACTGGAGAGGGGAGGACGCGCCCCGCCCCGGACAGAGGTCGGGTCGCCGCAGACCCCGCAAACGCGCTGTCCGCGGCTCGTCCATGACCGCCCGCAGGCCATGTACGTAGTTCGCCCCAGCCGCCGGGGTCGTTTGGCGACGAGAAGCCGAGTGGCGTCATTGCGATGCATCCGCCATTAGTTGCGTTTGGCACGCACCGGTGGGAATGAACAAGACGTATGATGAAAACAACTTCATCTTGTTCCCACAGCTGCCATGCAGAGCTTTGTGGCGTCTGGAAACGACGACGCTTGAACTCCTCCAAAATCGCCGTCATAACCGCGTGGCCGTAACTACCGCCAAATCCAGCTGTTGCACTAGACAGCGGTTCAGAGACACCACATTTAAAGCCAGAATGAAGCACTTAGTTGCCTGCGCTTGAAACAAATTCCTGTATATGCACGTTGACATCATGCATTCAAATCCTCGATTGCCCTTGGCTTCGGGATCAACGAAACGAAATGTCACTTACACAGAGGTCGTTTTTTCATTAAATGCCCACCCTTCATGCATTCGAGGGTGTCATGCTATCTGATATTCATCGGCTGGCGGTTAATCATTGGGCACGTATCTTGAACTGTAATATTTAAGCCACCCGTAACTTCGTTGCCACTATCAAGAACGTCGTCAAACTTTCTCAATTGAATCCAGAACCCAAACACCAATCTTGCGTGCCAAATTTAGTGACGTCACGGTGGCCATGCGCCCTGGTTATTTGACCTGAATGCGGGTTGTCACCCACTCCATCCCATGTCAAAGGAGCTAAGCGACTGCCTGGCGTACGGATGTGGTGACGCCGCTGGCGGCGCCGGGGCCGCTCACCGGTCCGTGGCCCGCGGTGTGTGGTGCGTGTGCTTTGCGGGCCAGCTGGCGCTGACGCACGGTGTCTGGCCGGCTGCAGTCGGAGCTGTTCCAGGAGGACCTGTACCCAGACACGATGGGCGACACTCCAGCCATCACCGCTGAGGAGTGGCTGGAGGGCGCCAACGCTGAGCCCATCCTGGTCTCGCTCAAAGGTGAGCGGCAGTTGGTGCGAGCGCCTCGGTCTCGGTCGCGGGTCATCGGCGCCGGACGCGCCGACCGCACCGTTCGCGGTCAGCTGGTTGGTCGGGTCGAGCAGTACGTACTTTCCGTTTAGAAACAGCTAAAAGCAGGCTTGGGGGCTGTGTAGAAAAGTCGGCTTCGTTGAACGCCGGAGAATGTCGACAATAAGCTTAAGCATAAGGAAGAATGGGAACTCTTGGCAGTGGGCAACAAGATCGAAATGTCCGCATGTCTCAGAGCTAATGTCACTTGCTGGATCCCTTTTAATAATGCAACGGGGGAGGAAGAAGATAATGGAGTGCCAGGTTATTGGCGCTGCGTGGTTAAAAGCAACGTACACTCAAACGTTTGATGGCGATTCGTAAGCGGCTTATTTCTCCCTCATTGCGCTGTACTTGCGTCGTAGAAATGAACCCACTAGTTCGAGTGATGCACCAACCTTACGTGCTCGCACCGGGGCTAAGAAAACTGCTGCACTTTTTCGGACCTGATTATAATGGCTGGTCATTTTCCGGGCCGTACACCCAAACACACCAGGCTATCATCTTACGATCTGTTTCACAACCTTGTAGGGCACTTATCCATTGTTCTTTATGTTGTGGTGGCAGAAGTTCCTGACTCCCGGCAGCGTCGGTACCCTTTCGACCAATATCCTCATGTCCTCATGTCCTCATGTCCTCACGTCGTGGCCCGTGCTGCAGACGGTCCGGTGTTCTCGACACCGAAAAAGGAGCTAAAAAAGGTGGTGAAAAAGGCCAACGTGCTGGACAAGAAGAAGACGGCCTCGCAGATGCAGCAGAGCTCCGACGCGCAGGGCGTCGGCTCGGGCTTCTCAGAGCAGCAGGTCAAGGAGCGCGTGGAGGACGCCGTCGCCGCTGCCACCAAGGCATACGTGAGTCGGCCTAGTGTGGCAGCCGGTTGGTGTGACGTCCTGGGCCCATGGTCGTGTACTGGCGCGGGTGGGAATCAGCGTACTGACGATAGTACGTGTGGTGACCCAGGATTAAACATATAGGCGATATAGGTGTGGGGCCCAGAATTGTCGTTTTTAAAGTGCTGGCCGCTGTCTCCGCTTTCAGATAAAAATGAAGCCATAACATCGTAAGTTTTCTTTGCAGAAGCTTTTGCAGGTTAGATGACGCCACTGTTTGTGTAGTTTGCATGGTGTCGGTCGTGCTTTATGTGAACATGTATATGCTCTTCACTTTTTTCCTCCTCACTAATAGCACAGTAATTTACCAATGACATAGAATGATACCGATGATATTTCCTGGTTGAATTTTAGTCACTTCTTTGCTTCCAGAAAAATCACCTTTTTTGGTATCCAGTGTCGGTCCGAATGTTGTAGAACAAGTCACAGTGAGCACTGAGCTCAGGTGCATTGTTTCGCAATGCTCGACCCTAATGACGGCGCCAAAATACTGTCCCCAACCACCCGCAGAAAAAAAAACTAATGAAACTCTTGAAGCGGGGAGCTGCCACGTCTGCAGACAAATGTAACACAAATGATTCCGCTGGTTCGCTGTGCTGGTGGTCTGTGAGCGATGCATGACACTTTCCTGGTCTGTTACCAGGGGCTTTTCGACTTGTTTGACAGGGACTGTTAGACTTTCGACAACTTTTTAACATATTATGAGGATTCGCTGCTATGTGGACCGATCGCTCATGCCTCATAGCATAAGCGCGGCATGTAGTGGTTTACTTTCCCAGAAAAGGAATCGTATACCTTCGTGATTGTTCAGATGTTTGTACGTTTGTTGGCGTATGAAGGGCTGGGACAAAGTGAAAGTCTACATTTACTTCCCATCCGTGGATTTCACTTGCCGCAAGATGCAATATGCTCGCGTTGCTCAATGGTTCACAATGTGTGGTTCAATGTGTACTGCACCGAATGGTGCTGCTGCCCCGGTACCACCAAGTATGTCCTCCGCCATTGCACGGCCGAAATCGGTCCTTCCCCTCCTCCGACCCCCCCCCCCCCCCCCCCACACACACAGACACTGCCTTCCCCTCCGACGCTAGTACACTGCCGTCCTCTGTGACCCACCGTTCCCTCCCCTTCACTGTTTCCTACTCTCTGATCCATACCCTGCCGTTCTTTCCGACCCACACCCTCTTGCTCGGTCGCCATTTCCGACCCACGCCCTCTAGCTCGGCCGCTATCTCCGACCCACACTCTCTCACCCAGCCGCTCTCTTGCTAACCTAGGACAAACGCTTCGACGACCTGATGATGGAAATGCGGAAGATGAAGGCGGTGATCGTGAAGCACGACGACAAGATCCAGAAGCTGGAGGCGCGGCTGGCGGGCAGCGGCGAGTCGTCGCCGCCCAGCGCCGGCCTCAACACGCTGCAGGTGCCTCCGGCCGACGAGCTGGCGCCGGACGAGGTGTGAGGGCGGCGCGCGCCCGCCGCCGGCCGGCCCGGCTCTGCGCCCGCACTGCACCGCCCGGCGTCCCGGCGGCGGCGTCAACCCCGCGCCGGCTGTGTGATATTGGCCGGCCAGCCCGGCCGGCGCGTCCCTCACAGCGCTCCGTCTGTGTGGCGTGTTTTCTACAGCTAACGCCTTCTCGTTATGTACTAATTTTGTATAAACTGTTTGTTGTATGCGTTATTTTAGCGGTAGTGCAGTGAGCCACCGGCGACATTGCCGGTGGGCGTGACACTGCTAACAGCGGATAACAGCAAGACCGCCCGCCGCGGCCGCCACCAGTGATCGTGTGCGAGGTGTTCAAAAGGTAGCATTGAATCGTGGGTCGTGCGCGACGGTTAGGGCATACGCCACCGTCTGATGCGCTCGCCATAGCGTCGCCAATGGAAACGTCACTCCGTTCTGAGATCGCCAATCATGTCGCCCAGCGTTGGCGGAGTTCACCAATTACGTAGCCCCGACTTTGGGCTCGCCAATCACGTCTCCAATTCGGAGTTTGCCAGTCATGTCAAAACGATAGCTTGCGGCAGCAAATTGATGTTTTGTCGATGGTGAATTCACGTGACGTTGTGTGCTAATTTATTGTAACATTCGTTATAAAATGATCGGTGATGCAATACAAAGTTAAGCAAGGCTTTGCCAGACAGCCTCTACACCCATTTCCGAACAGTTCAGGTGTGTCGTGCCCAGATAGTCGCGCGCTCCCTTGCTGAGTTTAGGCCTAACCTCTATTGTGGAGCGAACGTCACAACCTCATGGTGAGTTTCGGACGCATTCATTGTTTTTCCCTGAACTTGGGGTGGAGTGGAGCGCCACGGTGCAGTATCACAGGGTGCCAGAATGTCGTCAGAGGCCCGGCCTTCGTCGATTCTACAAGCGTGAATCCATTTATAGGGGGTGTCTCACATTTGTATGGGGTTTGCAGCTGAAACAGCCATGCTGAAGGTCAGTCGGTGCAGTTTGCAGCCCTGCCTTCTGAAGACCTTGACCCTTTTAGTTTTAGGCTAAGCGCCTGCGATAATGTGCACACTTTTTAAGACCACCCAGTCATCCATGACGCCATAAGAACGTCATTCAAATCTTTCCATTCCATTGGCCTTGGCAGCGGTCAGGGCCAAGCAAATATAATCGCCTTGTCGTTCACATCTGTCGTTCGTGAGTACGGTTTCCAGATATGGCTACCGCCAATTGTCTCTCAATCCGTACGGGGTATGATGTACGTAATCAAGCAAAGACGGATTGAGGAGCATATTTGCTTAGCAGGGAAATTGGGTTGCCTAGTGGAGCGTTTTCTACGTAAATGTACACATAGTTAACATAGTTTACATACGTATATGTTTCAATATCTTCCGATGTAGAACATTCCCTTCGACAAACACAGTGTCGCCAATGAACTCTAAAACTAGTCGTAATATAGGAGATCTCGTTGGTTTCGGCCCATTTGTACTTGCTTTAGGGCGTTACCCGTGCGACCAACTTACTGGGAGGTCATTCATAACTGAGGACGGGGTAGGAGGCGGCACGCTCCGCCTGACAACTCCGAGGTTCTTGTAGTGGACGCCCAGCGCTGGCGGCAAACTTGTAGGCTTCCATGGGTATTTCCAACACCGGGCAGTAATTTCGGCCAATCCTGGTGCAGTCCTCCCTACAGGGAGTGCCGTGGCGAACGGTGATGGTGGCGCCACGCATCCCTACTTGCTCAGAGTAGCCTCCGCCACCATGACGTTCGACGGACGGGACGCATAGGAACGCTGGACCGCCGACGGGACGGGGCTGCTTAGGGTTACCTCACGAGTAATCTGCAGCATACCACGGCCTCGCCCCGAAGCAAGCGTTCAAACTGACGCTCCTACCCGCGGAATGTCCTACGCAAGTGGACCCTTGGTGCGACTGAGGTCAAAGGGACGGTGAAGTATAGCGCGATGACCAGTAGTTATCGCACGTTTGACGGTTTCTGAACGCGGCAGTTACATCAACTGCGATTTTTCACCGGCCTCATGCTTTCATATGAGCCGTCAGTCAATGGCTACGCATGATGCGGATGGCTATGCTGAAGTTATTACGCCGAGCTCTCCTGACCCCTCTGCATATAATGGGCCTCGAACTGTAGCGACGTGGGGCATGCTATGGGCATTGGCGGGGAAGCTGATGGGCTCGTGGCCGTCCTCGAATATTGCTGACGAGCTGAATGGCTGGGATGCCCAGCGAAGCTCAATCACGTAAGTTACAAATATGCTTCAAAGTAACGATGTGCTAGTGTCGTCCTTTTTCATGGTCGCCCACTGACCCGGCTTGTGCCCAAGGTATTGATTTTTGTACTGTTAGTTAATTTTGAGTACTCTAATGAACTTCTTGGCTCCCCTGAGTGCAAATATTTATTTTTGCGGGAGTAATGCAATTTATGCAATCACTGTCCCTATAAAGACATGCCACACGGCGCTGAATTTCGGAGCAACCAAGGACAGACAGTAACACACAAACTGCGGAAGTCACATCATTGCCACGAAATGGGTGGCTGTGCCCTACTGGATTGTTTCTTGGCCAGTTAACCCGCCAGTCCGGTCATATGAAAGGAGTTGCATCGCCACGGTCCATTCCACGGCGCCCTTCCGGCAGCGGGCGGGTCGGGCACTGAGCAGCCGAGGTCATACACGACGCAGTATGGAAATGGGCAAATGTAGGCTGGCTACCAGAGGTAAGGACAGGAGGTAAGGCCCAGCGACACCGTCAGCATCGCAACGGTATTGCTGTGAGATATGTCATGAACTCGTCTTTTTGGGGAACGCGACGTACGTCTTCGCGCACCTTTTTACTGCGAACTGCGATGCGGATATTTGCGTACAACGGAATGGGTAAACAAATAAATGAGATACATAGGCTTTCCCGGGTACGCCACGCGTCTAACCCCGCCAGCACTGCTGGCGTTCAACCACCCGTGCTCTCCTTTCCCTCCTAAAGTTCACATTTTTTTGCCACTAGATGCCAGCAGCTTCGCAGTCTTGAGTAAAATGTTCCTGATGAATACAAGTGATACGCGGAGGAGACAAATGCTGTGTCCATATTAAAAACGGGGGGGGGGGGGGGGCACCATCGCCGTCGACGTACATATCTCTAATAATAACCTAACATATAGGCGTGCTTTAGAATATGCATAGGCAGTCTCTGTCAGATGACGTTTGGAGTTGAGTTATTTCAAACTTAGCTTCGTGTTTGTTTTGACCAAATTGGACGTGTTGATTCAATAAGCAGATATTACTATGAATGGTATGTGTTGTAAGATTTAAGATAGCTGTTGGTAATGTAGTCCAGTGCTCATCTTCTTAAATTCGGTTTTGAATTTTACCACAGGTATAGGTATGCACGATCTTGATTGTCAATCCCTGACTGTATTCTGCATCTCACTTGTTCCAAGGCTGTGATTGGACACAAGTTGTAGGTGTAGGAATATTTTAAAGGATAAGGGGCCTTTAATTGCATTTTTGTGGCCATTGAAATATATGGTGTTAGTCATGGCTGGGCATCATGACAGGATTATAAGTGGTGACCATGTTCATTGGATCTATCATAGCTTTCAAGGGGACTCCTTAAATTTCATGACAGATAAAAAGATGTTCACCCATTCTGTTTGACACCAGGGTTGGTGACTGCTCACTGTGCCCACCCTGTGGTACTGCCCCTATTTGGGAGGACTTTAGAAAGCCAATTAGCTTAAGTACCTGATAGGAAAGGGGTAATACTCTGGCTGGCAACACACATTCTGGCCTGTATGCATGCATGCAATAGTATATCATCCAATGGTTAGCCATATCCAGGCCCATAAAGCTATCAAGATTGCAAATGAAATTGCATATGCTTAAGCCTCATAGGGCATGTGCACCATGGCAGCAATATCCAATAGCATTTGAAGCCAGTGTGACAGTGCTCTGAGACAGCCAGTATTCACCAAGTATACTGAATTCATCAATTTCTGTATGGGATCTTTGTGCTATTGGTCAGGAGGCCCCAAGCAGATGTACTGCCATTAGCATGGTTATATGATGCAAGTTTCTTTTTCAATCAAGTTTCTTTTTGCTGGGTAACTCTAATGCTATTTATGAGTTTTGTGCATGTATTTTGGGACCACTTTGGGAGTAGATGGTGATTGAATTGCATGGCAGTTGACAAACAATGTTACTGACATCACAGTACATTTTTTGGCAAGGTCTGTGTCATCTTTTGCACACCGTGGGTCGGAGGAGTCGCCACTCTGGTGCCCACCACCCTCCCGCATATGACGTCATTGTGGTGGGCGGCGGTCACGCGGGCACGGAGGCGGCCGCGGCTGCCGCCCGTCTCAGAGGTCGCACCCTACTCGTCACTCACAAGGCTTCCACCATTGGTGAGCTATTAACACAAGCAATTGGCATGTGCATATCACTAAGATGACAGGCTTATTTGTTCTATTGTACTATCATCAGCGGGTATATCTCCACCGTCACAAATCTGGCAATTGTCATGGCAAGCATCAAGCACCTTAAATCAAATTTCATAACAAGTTAAACTGACTGGTGTGTGATAAGCAGATCGACAGCTAGAACTGCATAATATATATGTGCAACATATTATTGTGCAACTTTTCTGTGCAATATATACATGTACATTCCTATATCTGTGTGTGTGTGTGTGTGTGTGTGTGTGTGTGTGTGTGTGTGTGTGTGTGTGTGTGTGTGTGTGTGTGTGCGTGCGTGCGTGCGTGCGTGCGTGCGTGCGTGCGTGCGTGCGTGCGTGCGTGCGTGCGTGCAAACATGGATGCATGCATGCGAGTGTGCAGGCATTCATGCATGCATGCTTGTGTACATATTTTGCATTGTGCATATTCATGCACCATATGTTAATGCTAAATTGTGACATTTTTCAATCACTGTTATCATTTCCAGGAGAAATGTCTTGCAACCCTTCATTTGGAGGAATTGGAAAAGGCCATCTTATGCGAGAGATCGACGCATTAGATGGCCTCTGCCCCAAAATTTGCGATGTTTCCGGAGTGCAGTACAAGGTGGGTGATCTATATCAGAAACCAGTGCTGCATTAATCGCGGACTTCATGCAGTACCTCTCATAAGAACACTGATGTGCTACCTGCATAAACCAATTAGCTCAAATGTCCTTGTACTACTACGGATACATGAGCTGACAAGGGGCGCCGAGCTGACCGCCGCCAGCGCCCTCTCTGTCCTGTCTCTGTCCTCTCGGCAGAGCGCATCCGCCAGGTGACGTCCTCGCCTGTCTGGTGGCGCTCACACCCGCCGGCGTCAGCAGGTGCTGAACAGGAGCAAGGGGCCGGCCGTGTGGGGTCCGCGCGCCCAGATCGATCGCCAGCTGTACCGGCGCCAGCTGCAGCGCCAGCTACTGGCCACGCCCGGCCTGCAGCTGCTCGAGGCCGGCGTGGACGACCTGCTGCTGGTCGACGGCGAGCGGCCCGGCTCGGCGCGCTGCCACGGCGTCCGCACCGGTAGGTCGGCGGGCGGCCCGCGCCGGGGTAGGGCTCGCTGTTAGTGAGCTCAGCGAGCGGCCGTCTCGAGGAAGAGGCTCTCTGTGCCACCCGCAGGTGCGGTGCGCTGTTTAGGCCGACGTTTGAATTGGTGCGGTAGTGATAACAA